GTTTGTGGTCGCGAAATTTTCTACGTGCACATTGATATTTTTCGAGGCTGATCCAATTAACGGAAGGATCTTCGCGATTTCTTCGAAGAAGCCGGTGCTTCCGCCGAGCGCTCTTCTTTCGGTCGTTTTGACCGCCCTCGTTAATTCGAATGACAGTCGATACTTAGGGCATCGTATTAATTATCCCGCGATAGAAGCCTCGAGTTTGATCTACTTTCCGTAATTAATACTTCACGATCTCTCTTCAGATCCTTCGCGATGAGATTGTTACTCGAATTACGTTTTCTCCCCTCCCTTCTTTTTCTGTTTTGTTTTTTCTTTTTGGAATTATACAGAATCTATTTGATTTTTTGAGAATCATTTTCTCCATTCCTTTTAGCCATATCATTGAAACGACGTGGATCGATACTTCTTGATTAGTTTTGGTTAGAATTAATCGTAGATTGATCTTCTTTGAATACAGGGGTCGAAAGAGGGGAGTGGTTTTAGGTTTGCTATAGTGATTAGATGAATTTATGATTGTGATTTGGATCGATGTGATTCGTGGTAATGGTGGATGTAGAATTTTTCTTTTTTACGATGATGGTAGTTTTTTGAATTTAAAGTTTCGTATTTGATATGTTATTTAATAATATAAAATATTAAGGACAAGTAATAAGATTCACAGGTACGATAAGTAATAAAACAAATTACAATATTATTATTTTGTATTAAATTATACAACAATAATTTCAATTCCATATCGCGTACGAATAATTCACCATAAATGATATATATTTTCGAGCATTCAATTTACATTATTTATATTATTATTCTATCATCCTGCAACGTTCGTACGATACAAACCCGACTCAAACTCGAGAAAATTTCTATTCTTAATGAACCGTGGACCGCTCGAGGAGCTGTTCTCGACCCCTGATCTTTGATTCCTCGCGAAACTTCCACCTTTATGAACTACGAAAATCAGGATAATTTCGAGTAAGGGTGAGGAAATAAGGTTCTCGCACGCGTGCATGCTGGCGGATCCTTTGGCGAAGTCGATGGCATTGGCCCAAAGAGAATTTCCTAGTAGCACGGGCCCTGCACGGTTTCCAGTCACTTGGAGTCACTACCTTTGCGAGTCACCTTTCCCATCCCCCTCCATGCTTCTCCATTTTCTTTCCGTCCCATTTATTTGACCGTGCATACACCCTCGTGTAAATCTAGGAAACTGCCCCTCCTCGCTTCCACTGTTTTACATTTATTTGGTATTACTTTGGTATAAACAATGGCCGCGAACAAGGAACGAATTCTTAACAACTTCTCTTCAACAACTTTTTTTTGAATACAATAACTTCATTTTTTGTTTTTGCTTTCTTAATATTCAAATTTCATCGTGATCCTTTTTCATTCACACGAGAGGAGGGAAAATTAGAGAAATTGTCAAATCAGTGGTTCGGAATCTTGGATATCGATTATTTTAATCGAAGAATTGCTCGAGAGAGATTTTAAATCACATTTTCCCGTTTATTCGGGAAATTGAAATTTTAATTCCAATTTAAATTAACTTAAGGAATTGACTTGTGCAAGAAAGGCGAATAGAAAGTATTCTCGATGCTCGTAAGAATCATACGATAAAGGTATTTAATGAAGATTAGAATATTAAGAAGCTATTAACTCAAGTTGAACAATTCCTACAACTGCCTCTAACTCACGTGTATATTTGATACACGAAAAAGAAAGAAAGAAAAGAAGACACGGAAGCTAAACTAGTCGAAGATCGATCGCATGCGATCGCGTGCTTTGGAACGTGTCCTCGTTCGGTTCTGAGAAACAGCAAAAGGGTTCTCTCGCGAGGGTTGAGCTCGAGTTTGAGGATACAGGTGCAACTGCACGGGTCGTTAGCGGAATCGCATTCGAACTCTGGAAAGTGGTGCTCTCCTCCCTCTGCAGGAAATACTTTCGAGTGGCGGGTCTCTTCACAGGTAACGATCTTTCTCTTTTTTGCTACCCCCAGGCATCCCTTTTCCGCCCTTCCATCCGCGCCACCCCTTCCACGGACCGATATCCCCGCGTGTAATCCGTAATAACGTTTGAACAGCGCCCTTTGAGGGGCATTAGGCGGTGTATAAGGTCGGTAAGTGTATCTGGCAAATCGGCCTCCTGGTCCGTCGAGTATTTTCTCGAGGAATTTACGAGAACTTACTTCGACTCTTGTTACTCTTTTGACAGGACGAGAAGATCGATTCGTTGGCGGTTGTTCGAGTTGTTGGAAAGGATTCGTCCTGTGATATATTTAACACTTGTGTGTAGGGGAATGTTTTAAGTTTACGTTAAGAGATGGAGACGAAGATTTTTTTTGTGTATCAATTTTTGAATTTTTATTTTATTTTTGGCTCAAGGATTAATTCTCTAAGAATGTGTCAGGTGTGTAAAATGTGTAATTTATAAAATCGAAGAGTAAGAAAGTAGTGGGAAGAAAATTTGATAAAAATCCAATTTTGGAAAAATATTTAAGTGATAAGTGGCAAAAGATAAGAGAAGGTTTTTTTTTAATATAATTTTTAAAATTTACGAAGAATATTGATATTACAATTATAGATTGTTTCGTAGATATTTTAAAATTTAACTTTTATGCGACAACGCATTTATTACATTTTTATCACTCCAAGTGTTATTATATGGTAAAATTTTAAAATAGGTAAAGGTTTAATGTCCGCATTGTCAAGCTTACTGATAATGATTATTTGCAAAACACAGTGTGGTATGCAAAAATATGAAGGGTGAAAATAATTGCAATACCTTGAAAGGAATTCAGGGTAACAAGAGCAAACTAATGGAAGCGTGTCAACGAGAAAATCCACATCAAATTTCAATGCTTCAAAGAACATCGTATAATATGCCGTTAAAGGGTGTTGCGACAGAGGAATCATAAATCAAACGCGCCCACGATGCAATTATAGTGCTTGGTTTCTAAAACAGCGAATCATCCTTCGATATGCAAAAATAAAAAACCTATTCAAATCCTGAGAGGAAATGAAACTTGCCAATGTCATTAACAACTTTCATCTATTATAAATGGTTATCAAATACCTAATTTCTTTCCACGCTTCACACATCATTTCAACTCCTGATTTTTCAGATGAGAGATTTTCTTTTAACAACAGTAGAGAAAAAAATCTTTTCAATCTCGATCCATCTTTGAATTATCTCTCCGCTAATTTCCACACCATCCAGCATCGTTTCCCTTTCGATCCAATCCACGTTATTGAACGCGAAGACGCGAATTTCAGGATGGATGGTTGGATAGGAAGGGGTGTGTAAATCTGGAAATCCTGGCGAGGATTCGATCAGCTCCACGGTGGAGAACGGTCTGTTACTTTTCAGGGCTGGCTGCGAGCAGATGTACCGCGGCGGCAGACTTGAAAAATTGCATTTTGTATTCAATAACTAGACTGTCAGTCCGAGCAGCGTCCTCCTATAACTCAAAGCGCATCCCACGTGAAGAGACTCTCCTCTCCTATCTCTCTTCTCTTTGGAGGAAATAGTATAGTTCGATGTCTTGCCTGGAAAAGAGAGGGGGAGAGCTATTCGTCGCGGGATCGTTTGCTTTGGTTTTCTTCCTTTGGGGATTGACAATGCGAGTACAAGCAAAGTACCGAGTTCGTATGGGGGATCGTGCAGAATAGAAGCTTTGAGGTTTGGCTCTGTTTGGATGGTAGACGACTTGAATTAATGCAGAGTTCTCGAGGAAAAGAGGAGATTAGATACGAATTTGGATCTTTTTTGCTTTTTTTGAATTTTGATATATTTGGAGGATTGATTTTTTAATGGGTGAAATGAAAGGAAAAGTTGGAGTGCAAAAATGTTTGTTGGAAAAGTGGCATAAATTTCCAGTTATTGATAAACAAAGTTACTATAAGAAGTTAAGTGTAAAGCGAGTTTTGAAACTCGTGAACTTTTAGTTTCGTACTTTGATATGATGTCGTTACACGTTCTTATAGCGATTTCAAAGTTGTAATTGTATTATTATTAGATGCAACGAGGTCCTCTCAATGTCTTTTTGAATGAAATATTTAATTAAATTCTTTTTTGTAGATATCCTCTAAATTTTATTGTTGAATCTCTAAAATGATCTAGTTTTCAAAGTCTTTTTTTTTTGAGGATATAGAAATATTGACGGTCTTGCGTGTAATTTTTAAATTACGTTACGTGTTGCAGGAAATGTGTATAATATAACTTATTTTTATTGTTATTTTTCTCATCGATCTTTAATATCTTAAGAAACGAATATATAATTTATAGCATATATTTGATGTTGCAATTGTTTTTTTTTTTTTTTCAATTCTTGATAAACTCGTAGATAAAGGTTTGCTTGATTAAATCCATCTATTTTTGTATCTGGACAATACATAATTTCTGGGATATCAATTATTTTGAATATGAACTCTTGTGATCTGATTTCATTTGTGGCTTGATTCGATATTACTTGAAACTCTACAAAATGAGTCACATAACTATATTAAATGGTTGGTTAATTGTTTTATACGAAGTTTTGTACGATTCAAGAAGGATATATTGCAGACGAATATATGAAGAACATATAAAAATTATTATTTTTTAATGGATCGTTGCAAAAAGGAGAGTTAGTTAAATCATTTATAATGATAAAATTATCAAAAGATATTGTAATACGAAAGGAATATAATAAAATCTCGTTTAATTCTTCAATAACTAATATTTTCTTGCAATTATGATTGAATGCTTGGAAAAGTTTTTCAAGAAATACGTACAAGTACAATTTTTAAGTTTTTAATATAATTAAAAATAATCTTAAATAGAAACATGAATGTTAAACTGATTGATATTCTTACCTCTATTTTCTGAACGATTAAACTCGATGAAAACGTGTGTTATATTTCTAATTTGAACATTAATATTCGAGAGGGAAATTCAATTCTGATTAAATGCCCAGGAGAGTATTAACATTATGTTAACAATTTCGTTTCATTTTGTTTCAGTTACAGTCGTTTCAGTTACCACCGTCCCGGATCCGGAGTTCGTTGATGAAATAGGAAATATCACAGTCCCAGCAGGGCGTAACGTGAAATTAGCCTGCAGTGTTAAGGATTTGGGACCGTACAAGGCAAGTGAACGCATTTATTCATGCAAATTTATTGTAAACAATTTTAAAATCTCGAAATATTTATTTATCTCATCTCATAGATAATATACAATACGCATAAAAATTGTCGGGAAAAATAGATTAAAAAAGCTTAGCTTACTTTGAAGATAAAATAACCTAATTTTATTAATCTATCTTTTATATCCTATAACAATTAGAAAAATCTTTGTACGAAGTTTCTGTATGTCGAACTTGTTAAATCCTCTTTTAGTCAAAAGCTTGAATAGACGAAGCTTTAATAACTCGAAAATTTTACCTTTTCCATTGAGATTCAACAGCATTGAAAGAACAAATTTAATCTGATATTTAATTACAATCTTTCCTCCATTTCTCCCAGAATCAGAAATCATCCCAGGATTATTGAAATAAATCCTCGTTCGAGCAACAATTCAAGCAAAATTGTTCGCTTTAATTTTGTCAAAATGTTCTTTCGAATGATTGAAATGATTCGTCACGAATTCCCTTTCCAAAAAACCAACTGTCCATATAAAATATAATAATATAATAATTGAATTATTCCACTCGAGTACGAACTTTTTATTCCCTTTAAATAAAAATTCCTCGATCTTGGTACAAACAAGGACATCACATATCCAACAAACGGAGAACAATTGAAGTTTCTGCATGGCCGACGCAATCGGAATATCCGCTTGTTTCCAAGGCGAGCGCCACGACGTATGATAAGTAAGTGGGATCAGGCGCCACGGAAGTTCTCGGTTAGCTACGATTGCCGATTACACGGCGTCGTTAGATCGAGCTGAAATCGTGCGCCGCTTTGATGAACGCGATTCATCAATGAAGGAGCTCGTTAAATTCGAAGCGCGAGGAAAGTACGCGCGTATCAAGCATTCTTGGATAATTTTCTCGTATCCTGGAAATAAAATTAATTCCTTGTTGAATTGTGTCAACGGTGTTTGCGAATTTTTTATGATGAGAAGTAAATTTCGAGATATGGATTATCGTAGATTTTTTAGAGAGGGATTTGGTATTTCGAATTGGGAGAAGGAAAGTACAAAATAATATGGAATGAAAGTTTTAAAAAAAGTTTGATCGAGATGTCGTGACAGATATCGAAGAGAGATATTGGGAGAGATTTCAAGTTAGGAATAATTGGGATGGAAATTTTTCTACGTTTAAGAAAATAAATTCGAATTATATGTAATATTAGATTCACCTTTTATCTATTGTCAGAGTATAGTTTACTAGATCTTACTTGCGTAATTTTATTTATATTCAGTCCATGTTACTTTTAATTAACGTCAAATTTTGAAAAATATGAAAGAAGATGAAGATATAAAACACGAAGTGAAACAGAAAATGTTTTGATGATTAAATTAACTAACTGAATGATCAAATTAACCTCTGCTCGATTACGATATTTCTCATCCGATACATTCCATCATTCGATTCTCTTGATTTGCAACATTTCATATTATACATTCAAAAAAATATAATCACACCATCGAAGAGCGATATAAATGGTGAAAAGATGTATACGTGCACAATTCAGACGATCGTTGTTGGATAAAGAAAGGGAAGAAAGATGGTTGGAGATGAGGAATTGGTGAAAAGGAGGAGAGGAGAGAAAAATACTCGAAGGACTGCAGTGGCCAGAACGAGGCAAAGAAGAGGAAAGTTCGTCGGCCACCTGAAATTTTCCATCCGCAGCAGGGAGGAAGATTGAATTGGCATCTTCTGGACCATCGCCAACTCGTACGTCGTATAGAGGTCGTCGTGTCATCGTCTTCTTCCCGTTTCTTGAATCTTAAATTCGGAATCCGCTCGAAAGGATTCTTCTTCGATGCGTTTACGAATTTGGTGACTCTTCTTCAGTAATGGAAAAGTATCACGCGAAAATCCTTGCAAACTTTAATCTCATATTTGGAGATGGTGGATATCTGGAATTTGTGAAAATTACAAAGATTGGATAAGTGGATCGATTATTGAATTAAATTGTTGTTGTTTTCGAATAATTTGTGGTATCGAAACTCGAAAAGTTTGGAAATTGAGGGAAATGAACGAAGATCTGGAAAAATGTGAGAAATGTATTCTATTAAAATGATTACTTTGATCGACTTTTATCGTATAACAACGATGAAGGAAATATTTGACAAAATTAAAGATGAATGACTATTAAATTTTTGAAATGTTTGATAATCAATAGCTATAACGATTGAATTCTTATTCAAATAATATATAATTCATTTGATTATTTGGCATTGATTATTTATTATTTATTAAGATCATCAAATACTAGTAATAAAGTTGAGGAGCAATTGGAGCAATTCGATGTTTGAATAATTTAAAATTTGATAAATTTTGCAATTCAATAACGATGAAAATGATTTATCCAAAAAGGATTCAAAGATGTTTAAAACAACATTTTTAATTTATAAAATTCAAATTTCAATTAGAATTGCAATGTTGAAAATTAATATTCACATTTAGATTTTTAAAAGAATAATCGATTGAATTTCTTCTTGAAGTTCGTCTTCTTAATTAAAAAGTCGTACTTCAAGATATTAATTAATTGAAATTAGTTCGTTAATTCGAAATGTTATTATGATTCAATATATGTACGTATTTGTCGATCTCGAAGATGCGGCTATGATACTTCAATCGCTAATGAGCAAGAGAAATCAAATCTTGTGCATCTTAATTGAAGTTTCGTGTTCATCGAATAAACTAACAACTCTTGACAACTATGAAAAACATGGTATTATTAAAAATAATTGAATTATATTCGTATTCTGTAAATAAAAAAAAGAAATTGTAAATATCGATACCAAATTAAAATCTGAGTTGCCTTGGAGTCGGTTCAAGTATATTTTATTTTTAATATTCGTTTATTTCTTTGCAAGGAAAAAATTAAATATTATAAATAAATCTGGATTTATTAGAATCTTTAATTGGTATTTTAGAATTAATATTTTCACTGAAAAACGTGGAAAATCAATAAGAGATTAAAATAAATTACCCATTTTTGTAATCCTATTACATCATTGAATCATGAAGCTTTATACACACTCGATAAAATTAATTATTTATTTTATCGTTTATATAAACGAATATCATATAAAATTTAAATCGTACAAGTATTTACTACTGAACATGTGCATTAATTTTTCTTCAATAATTAACCAACATTAATAATTCTAATGAAACAACAACATTAATGATTCATCACTGTTAAAAAATGGATATCCTAAATGGATTCTTGAAATATTCCCTTTTATAATTCAATTTTTCAAGATACTTCTTAAATGATATATTCCATCTCGAAACTTATCATTTTTAAGGATGTAACAAATCCAGTTTCAAATGAAAAATCTAACTTTGTAACACTATACATATATAATATGGAATAAAGGGATATGGAATAAAGGATTGAAACGCAAATGCACAAAGAGAAGACTTCTCCCTTCAGAGGGATTATATTTAATCCTTTCAACACTCTGAGGATATTTAATAGCACCATAAAGACGACGGTTTGTCAACGATCAACGCGTCAAGTGATTCCATACCACGTTCTACGAGTTTCTTCTAGATGGCAACCCCTCTTACGAGTCGTATACCGACCCCTAGCGATCCTTAGTGTCCCGTTGAAAGGTCGCCTAGGGATTGACACCGCTAAACACCCGCTTAAACCGAGCAAATCGTATCCACTAACCCGGATCAACCTTATCTTTCTCGCGTTCGTTCGGTTTACCATTCATTCAATAGGACGAACGTAAAAAGGAAATGGAATTAATTTACGTTTAGAAACTTTTCTCTTTTTTTAATATCATCAACTCTAATATTGTAATTAAATTAAACGAAGGGAAAAAGAAAGGAATATACATAATCTTTAATTGCACGTAAATTCGAAAAATTTAAATAATTTATTGCAATGATTAATAATTTAAAAATTAATAAAGTTAAAACCTAAGAAGTATACCCTTGAAAATTAAAATAATAACGAATGTTAATTCAACAAAATTAATGAATTAGCTTCGAGAGAATGAAATGGAAACATTTCCTCCGATTGCAAAATTAACTTCGTTAATTCTTTCTTTTCGCGTATAATTCTCGTATCGAGGAATAAACTCATGGCCAGGTTGTGGAGGGGGGTAACGATGCCAAGGCGAATGGCACAGCAATTACTTCCCTTTCGGTATTCGCGTGATCCCGGATGTGGTGAGTGGCGAACCGGATGATCGTAGGGTAATAACGTTGATCTCGCTTCGAGGGTGCGAGCTTAAGCGCGTGTTTAGCGGTGTCGATCCCCTCCAATGTGCCTTCTATGGAACGGCTAATCGAGAATGGGGTGCGAATTGCAATAAGGAATCGCAAGTAGGGATCTACCGATATTTCATTCGAGGTGATTCTTCGTCGAATCGAACTTGATTATTTCGAAAATTATTGTCGAGAATCAAATTTTATCTCGAAGACAAATTTCGCATCTGGCGGAGAAGAATGCAAACAACGATACTTCAATTTCTTTCACCGACCCGTTCCAATGATTCGACGTATCACCACAAATGTTTAAACGTTCGAATAGAATTTTCTCAGGATTCATATCGCTTTTATAAGGTATTTTACGAATCCCTTTATTCATTATCACCAATTCCGTGGTTGAGAATGGTTGCGGGTCGAGGATACATGGTGGTAGAAAAATACCATTAAACACGAGATATTAAAATTCCTTCCTCCTTCGTTCGAGTCAATACGAAAGCGGAAGTGAGAAGAGTTTGGCCGCGGAGGAATTTCCTTTTAGCTTTATCGGCTCTCGCCGCGTGAAACCTTCGAGTGAATGTAATTTGAAAATTCTTTGCTTCCTTCCTTCCTTCCTTCCTTTTTTTTTTTATTCTATTCGTGTTCCCCTTTTTTTCTATCGACAATCTGTGGCTAATTATTCGATATTTAGGTGTGTGTGTATATATTTTTTCAATAAATAGGTTATATAATTCGATTGAGAATTT